ATAGTAAACTGTATAGTAAAAGTAAATCTTAAAAGTCAGCCAGCTAAATCCAGGTAAACACACTCACTTTTCAAAGCCGTTAAAAGTATAAATAAATACAGTTTATTTGTTTTAATTAATGCCAGTAAATTAGCTGTTCTGCTCAATAGAACTTTTGTTTATGTACTTTTTTTTCACCCCATTCATTTGTAGCTTTTGTTCGGATTAATTTGTAAGTAGTTTTGTCGCCTTCCAGTTGTAATTTTTTCTACAACCTAATTGTCTGTTTCCTGATCTTGGCTCGGCAATAATAATTATGACTGACACCAATCCCTAACCTTGCTAGCCTTGTTTCTTTTTTATTGTTATTTTTAATGCTATTAAATGCTTACCTGCGAGTGCAGTTTCCAATCTTTGTAGGCCTTCACAATGTAATCCATTTCCGTGAGTTTGTCTGCTGGTTTATTTTACTGGATGGCCTGCATCGAAGAACATAAGAAATCATTTGTTCATAATCAGCTGAATATATTCATTTATTTCCACAATTATTAAATAATCAAGCTTCGTTTGCTTGGGGGTTTTTCCCTCAAATTTCTTGGTATCTGCCTCTTTTTCGGTGGCTGCAATCACAAATTGTTGTGCAATTTCCGAGCAATTATTTAACAGACTTTACTTTAATTTGGGCTCTAGTCAAGGCTGGCATCGGATCTCTTGTTTTTCCCCCTTTCGTTTCTTCTTTTTTTCTGCCTTTTTTGTGTCTTTTTGCACTTGTGCAAATCTCCAGAGCTGCCTCGTGGGCGTGTGTATGTCACAGCGAGTGTGTGTGCCCAGTGGGAGGTGTGTTTGTGTGTGAGTAGATACAGTCGAACTTTTATAGATTGAACTAGTTTTTGGTGTTTTTAAATTATAATAATATCATTGACTACAGTGAACGCTTTAGTAAGTTCTTTTTATTAAGAATTCATTGGTGAATTTATTAGAAATTTTTAAAGACTTCTAAATTGGTAAAAATAAATCAAGAAATGAATTTAAGCTGATGGAGTTAATTGTTGTTGGTGTATTTATTTTGTGGTGAACTCACTAGTGAAGTTCATATTTATTGGTGAGTTTATCTTTCAATCATTTTTACAACAAATTTATTGGTGAACCCATCTGTTGGTGAAACAATTAAGACACCTTAAATAACATAAATACACCCCAAACTATATCCCAGTTATAGAAGTTCGACTGTTCCACTGTGTGTGAATTCGTTTTCCGTCTGGTGACAATCATGGAGATGTGTTGGTGTACCGCGTTTCGTGATCTTTTGCCAGTTGACTTTTTCTGTGTTTTTTTCGCCTTCTTTTTTTATCTACACAAAAAAGTTCATTTATTTTAAAGATTTTTTCTTGTTATAATTATTACTGCCGCCCTGCTGTGTTCGTTCGTGTTTAGTTTAAGTTATTATTTTTTTGTTGTTATTGTTTTAAGCTGTTGTTATTATTGTTTTGACTGTGGGACAACGACAGCTTGTTGTTTTTTTCCACAATGCAAATACACAATCGAGAGGCTTTATTCCAGAACAGATGCTTGCCTGGCAACACACAGCACAACACACAGTAACCATTTTTCGTCAGTGTTTTCGTTTTCTAATGTATATATTTCACTTAATAGCAACTCTTTTTATCATTTTATTTTAAACTATTTCTCTTCTTTGAATTTGGCTTTGCTTTTTCGGCACTCACACTCGCTCACAAGCAGACGACAGCGGCGACAACGCGAGAGAGCAGCTCGGCTTTTCGCAGCTAAACGCAGGCACTAAACTATAGCCAGTAACTAGCGACGGACGGCGGATCGGCGGGCGAACCAACTCCAAGCAGCACTCGAAAACAAATGAAATGACTGTGACTGCTGGACACAACCACCGTCGACGTGCGATCGTCAGTAAAAGCTCCGAGGCGAAAAAAGCTCTTTGCTCTCTTGGCTGGAATTAAAGAATGGAAAAAATAAGCAAACCGGTGGAAATGCACACACAACAAATAAGAAAATGGGCGGGTAAATATAAATAAATAAATATGGTCTTATGTTGTTTAAACAAAACTCATTATTATTCACTTCCCGACGCTTTCATTGCTCTGGTGATCTGGCATTTGTACAAGTACAACAAGAGCAACAAGCATGTTGCCAGTACCCGCACTCAAATCCACTGCTGATTGTGCCTAATTCGAGTGATAACAGTGATAGCAAACACTAGTCCAATGAGCCAGAGGAATAGGAGAACCTTACACAGATACAGTGGGCACTGGGAGGTGAGGGAATACATGATTAACTAGGCATTGGTGTACATTGGTGTATTGAGTGGTGAATATTATGTTTCATCAATATATTTATTTCCTTTTTCTTAATAAATCAAGTTCGAATCGAAAAATTGTACTATTTATTATATTGGTGTTCTCCTTGATATGCTTGAAATTAAGTTGCTTAACTTATACTAAATTATATATTAATTGGTCAACATTCGATGTTTAATTTGTTGGTGTATTTAGGGCTAGATTTTCTTTCGTCGTTGGTGAAGAATTTGTTGTTTGTTATATGTGAATTTACTGGGAAATTTAGGGTTACATTTTTAGATACATTTTTTAGGTTGACATGGCGTATACTTAATATGGGCTTCGGTACAAGCAACTTTATTACGTATACGTATTTAAGAATTATATATTTCTCGCTTCGAAGTGTGCTTTTTTTATTCCCTTTACATCAATACTATTAATATTATAAATATTAATTAATTATTTAAATTTGAAGCTGCGATTACTGTAGTCAACAATAATATGATGTTCACCTGCAAAAAAAATTGTGATAATCACTTGGGCAGCTCCTCTCTCGCTCGCTGGCTGCGCCACTCACCTGTATTATTAAATGATAACTGAATGACGGTGACAGGTGCACATCAAGCTCCTCTGGTTTTTTTTTTGTGCTTTTATTAGTTTTTTTTTTTTTGTTTTTGTTCTGGGGTCAGTTCGTCATAAGCGTAATTAGCATGCGTGGAATCCCTTTTTCACCAGCGATGATGAGCAGGGAATTTTTCCAGCCAACACGGACGTCATTGTTTTTACCTTGCAGATTGCGGCAAAGTTGGCAAAAACTATTTATAGAAATCCGGCGTCGCCCGCATGTTGTCAAAACAAAAGTTTCATTATGGTTAGGCGGCTGATTTGTGTTGATTTTTGCCTTTTTTTTTTGTGGCCAAGATAAGCCCGGAACCCATTGTCAGAGCTACAAGGTAATCCATGTTAGATATACTGTTGTTATCGATCCTGTACTCTTTTTCTTATCATCGCTTGGACTTGGGCAAAGTTAGATGGAGCGACTAACGGTGACATGTCGAATGCGTCAGCTGCTGGCTGGCCAAAAAAGCCCTGTTGTCAAGGGTAGATAGAGTTACGAGCAAGGAGTTTGTTTTACCAAGCAGGCAATTCATTTAATTATATTTTAAAAACAATTTTGGTTGCATACAACTTGTTTTAAAGCTAGTTTATTATATATAACTTGTAGATTTTATACGAAAATTAACAAGAAGGGCTTATGCAATTCGAAATAAGACTTTAAGCAAAAAATCTCAGTATCTTCTTCTAAAAAATTAGTTAAATAAAAATTAATAAATTTAAATAATAGTTGACGACTTTTTAAATGAAGTTTGTGCTAAAAAAATATACAATAAACTTAGGTTTTGAGATACTTACAAAAGAGAGAGTTTATTATATTTATTTTGTAAATACCTTTGAAGTAAAACTACATATATGTAATTTTGCTAAGAAACAAGCCGATTTATTAAAAAAAAGTTTTAAAAATAATCGTAGAATATTTTGTATTCTATAAATAAAATGAATAAATGTTTTATAAAAAAAAACTCATTTTCATGCAAATTATAAAAATATGATTATTTTTAAATATTTCTTTGTATAACTTCCATAAAATATTACAAGACAAACTGTACAAAAACTTCTCTTAAAAATTAATATCAATCAAAGTTTTAGAACTTAATTATGCCTTAAAACGTCCTAAGTATTTTATTATGGCCTCAATTTAGGCCAAAATATTTAGCATTTCTTTTTTTTTTTGTGGTCGTCAAAAAGAAATCCCCTGAATGCAATAAAATCCGATCTTTCCTGAATCCAGGTTACCCATCCGATCGTTGTCATCGCCCCCACAGAGTGAATCAATTTTCCTGCGAATAAAAGTGAAACGCCGGCCACAAAGTGACGCTGATAAAAAAGCCCTAACCCGTAACCTGGCAACAGGCAACAATATTTATTTTGTGAATCAAAAATGTGCTAATTGCGACGACACGTCCAAATCGTTGACCAAAAATTTATGTTGTTTACTTCGCGCCTGGCAAAAAAGATGTTTTTCGGTTAATAGTTTGGGCAAATTGGGCAAAATTCGAAATTGAAGAGGACTCGCTGGCAGCTGCTGACAAGTTGTTTATTTGCAGATTATGGCTTAATTATGAAATCGCAACTAATCCGAACAACACATAATATAAGCGATAATGAGGTGATTGATGTTTGCCATTGGTTTCAGTAATTAGATTTGGGAATAATCCAGGGCTGGTTTTGAAACTGGCAAATTCTACTCAATGAAAGGCGTCACTAATCGTTCAGTAAGTCAAGGTCTCGCCTTATCTTTGATCTAAACAATTTAATTACCACAAATCAAACCAATTATCGCTTAAACTTGTTTGAAATGTCCGTTTTACAAGACATTTAAATTCAAATTGTTCTATAGCAGTCAGCTTTTGGTCGCTCGGACCGAAAAGTCTGGCACTTTTGGTCTGGCAACGCTGGTCGTTCGTTCACGGGCGTTGCCAGACTTTTCGGTCCCAGCTACCATAAGTGCCAGATCGCTGGAACAGAAAATTCTGTTAAATTCAGAGTGACCAAGTCCAAAATAAAAAAAAATATCTCGATTTCGATAATTGGGCAAAAAAATTTATTTTCAGGAAAAATGGATTATATTACTACAGTCATACTATTCTCTTTTCTCTCAACGGCCGTTCGCTCGTCAAAAGTGTCGAAAAATGTGGAAATAACTGCCAAATTCTGGTGAAAAGTGTCGATTCGTGGTGTTTATTGTGTTTGCAGATGGAAAAGCATTAAATTTTCCACGGAAAAGTGCGAAAATCGTGGCTGCAAACCTGATTTCGAGTGAAGAAGAAGAGCGCATTTTTTCGTCGTCGTAAAACGCATACATACAGACACTCGCACACATACGTGTGTGTGCCGAAATATATATGTGTGTGTGTATGAAACGCGCGGGCGCGAGAGAGTGAGAGAGAGCGAGCGGTAGTTGTGTGCGTGTTTTTGTGCGTTTGTTTTGTGTCGAGAGCGAGAGAGCGGCGAATGTGAAGCCAAAGCAGAAAACCAAGAAATAAGTGAACGAAAATAAAAACGAAAATCGCAATCTCCACCCCTGTAGTGAGTGTGTTTATGTAGTTTATTGTGTGTTTTGCGTTCATTTCGCGTGGAAAATGCCCGGAAAATGCGACATCCCGCACGCGGACTATTAACGGTGAAGAACAACCCCCGGCAGCGCATCTGAGCCCGGAATCCGCTGGGAATCTGGAATCCTGGATATTTCGCCACACAAAAGGTAATTAGAAGAGATCGCCGCTGCGATTAAGGCGTCGCCGTCGCCGGCTGACGGATGGATGACTCACACACCAATGCACTTTGTGTATCTGTGTGTGCCTCTGTGCATGCCAGATATTGATTTGAAATGCAAAAAATGACAGGAGATACTTTACATTGCATTACACACACACATACTTCTCTCATGTCACCTCATTTTCATACACACCAACTCATATCTCCATAGTTTTAGTTACCTTTGACGACTAACCTTAGTGAGTAGTTTTTAGAGATTGTTGTTTTCTAGCCGCGGAACAAACGGAACGTTGTTAATTATTATTCACTTGATAATGCAAATTAGGCGGCACAACAAATACTGTTAGTTCTGTGGGACCGGGCTACAGTGGAGCCCAGATAAAAGTTGCAGATTAACAATTAACAATATTTAATGTAGTAATTTAATTTTTTGTATTTTTATTTAAATTTTAGATTTAAAAATTCGTCATTAATTTCCCAATCTCTCTGAAGAGATCTAATAACTCTAGCCTTAAAGTATGCTTTGAACCAGGAAAAGCATTATGATAGTTCCCCTATAGAAAATTTACCTAAAAACAGAAATTTATGTTTGGGAACATTATTAAAGTTCAACTTGTTCAAGTTGCTCTGTAGTCTGAGGCCAACTACGACGTTTTCCATTACTTACCACCTTTTGCCACCCATAAACCAAACGGTAAACGACAGTCGCTGCCACTCCCACACACAAACAAACACAGGCACTCAGCACTCAGACACTGACAAAACAATAATAATAATAAGGCAGGCAGCATCGATAAATAAAGTTAATGTGTGAGACCAGTTAATTGCTTTTGTTGTCGCCTCAATTCTAAATCAAATTCAGCCGCTCTCTCGCTCTCTGTCTCTCGCTCTGGCGCTCACATGGCCAAGTGTTTGTATAACTAAAAACTGTTGTTGTTGGCTGCTAGCTGGCTTTTAATAAATTATACAATAAAATGAGAAGCGATCAGAGCTGAAAATCGATTGCCCCGGCTGTTGCTGATGAATAATTACAAAATAAAATATATTTATACAATAGGCTGTGTATTTGTTGACGCCATTTTTGCCATCAAAAGGCAAATTCCAAATCTCATGTAAATGTGTGTGGATGTGTCTGTGTGTGTGGGAAACTACGCGCCAAATAGCATTGAGTTTCGAGGCGCAAATAAAATGAGTAATTGCGCATATTAAAATTTGCCTTTCGAAAAACTCGGCCCATTTGACACACAGCCACTGAGCCGTGAGCTAATGCGGCGTTTATTCGCTTATTCGGACGCTCGACGCCGAGATCTTGAATGGGTTTTCGAAAATAAACAATTGAGCGAATGCACTTTTACACTTCACTGATTTTCGTTGAACGCACCTCGCTTAATTGCGATCCAACAAACGAACTGCCATAACTATAAATACCAGCCATAAATTACAAATTATAATTGGTATTTGTATTAGATATAACCAATTATTCAAAGTGTTCTTTCTGAGGATTATAAATATTTTACATGCGCCCATGGGAGTGACTAAATTGATTTATTTCCAAGCACGGCTAGTAAGACACAGAGATCTGAGGATTTTAAACACAATACTTATATGCCCACAAGTATGCAATAAATAGTGGACTTTTCATTTGTTTAGGAATATATGAAATCAAAAGGTATAGATAAAATCAATTGAGGTTTATTATCTGAATTCATGCCCTCGAACAATTAGCTAAAGAACAGCTATCTTTAGATCTCCCGCCCGATAGGAAGAATACCGCTTAGCCAGCAATCCCTGTACTACGTGCGCGATTATTATTTGTTTCAGTGGCCAGCACAAAAATAATAGTTTGCATTGTTGTTCCGCTCGCATTGTTGTTACTGTTTCTGAAGTATTTACATTGTTTGCGGCTATTTGTTAGCGTTTACACCTTTATTTGGAGTGTGTGTGCGGAGAAGAGGCTGCAGCTGCCGTTAACTGTGTTAACTGGGTTATTTAGTCTTTACTTACCTTTCGTTACCTTACAAACCACCACCATCACCACTACCAAGGTGGGACAGATGTCCACACACACACAAACACACTCTCGAGTATTTAGTTTGTGTTTCGTGGCAAATTGGACATCGAATTGCTGCCGTTGCTCTCGGCTTTCAATGCTCATTCATAAGAGAGAATATTATTGGCGCGCACATTTTTCATGTTTCACCTTTGGCTGCGTGTTTTGATTTACACACAGCACGCACACCAGCAAAGGTACTCCCCCGCGTGCGCTCTCTGTGTGCCTCTCTAATTTGTTGATTCACCTTTTCAGCTGCTTTCTCTGAGAGAGAGAGTATGGATGGGAGAGACAGCCTCACTGCTCTCTTTGTTTTTGTTGCCCGCACACACACGTATTTATTCAGGCATTTTTGCATAATTTCATAAAAAATTTACATATTTTATGTCGGGCCGAGGCCGAGTTCGATTTTCCCTAACTTGTCAATCTTGTTTGTAGGTATGCAGATAGTTGTTGTCTTTTGCCGCCGCTTGGCATCTGCCTCTGTGTGTGTGTGAGTGGGTGCTGCTGCTGCGGGCTTGTTGCTGTTGTGATTGTCGTGCTCGTGTTTAGGGCTCTTAATCGTTCGGCAAACCGATTCGTTACCTGGCTCTCGCTCTCTTCTCCACTTCGGTTTCCTCCCCACCCCCCCTACCACCCACCGCAACCGTCTCGCTCTCGTGTGCTTGACTTTAATCTTCTCAATTACTCGCAATTTGCAAGTTTTGTGCTCGCGCCTCCTTAGGCGGGTTATTGGCATGCAGCGTGAAAGAGACGGCAACACGGAGAGAGGGAGAGAGAGGGTTGTGTACACAACAAGAAAAGTATAATTAGATGTCAATTTCAATCAATTAACCAATTTATTCGCAAGTCTTCATATCACTTAGCAGCCGCAACGTGTAATTGTGCGATTAAAAAGTCATGTATATCGATAACCTGTCATCCACAGAGATTGAGAAGGAAAAATAGAGTTTATTTTGGTAATCGATCCATTTTATAAGCAAAATATCTAAAATTAGTTTTTAATAATTTATTAATAAACGCTTCATGGTTGAAGTAAAAGACTAACTAATCAAGTCAACAATTTTTAAAGACAACCACTTACAGAATAATCAGGGAATTAATAAAATGTGAAAAGAGTTATAGGGATTTAATTTAGCTTTTAATAATGAAATAAAGCATAGCTAATCTGAACAAACGAAATCAAAACAAAAACTACACATCGTCAGGGACAAATACATCATGGACATTAGAAATATTAAATAGATTTTATGAATACTTTGACAGATTTTGAAATAAATGTACCTTTAAAGTTAGTTTATAACAAATTTTGGAAAATGTTTTATTTCGCACAGTGCCCGTATTCTATTTCAGTTTTTGTGCCCCATTCTTGTTATTTTGTCGTTCTTGTACATTTTGCGCTTGTTTTGATTTCTTAATCTTTTTACCATAATTGATGGCAATTAAAGTCAAAGGTGTGTGAGTGCCCGCGTCTGGTTGTCTCCCTCTTATTCCCCGCCACTGGCCACTCGTTTATCGTCGCGTTTGCTCGGCTGTCGATTTCGATTCAATTCCGAGACGATGACGATGACGACGATGACGCTGCACTCGAATTTCGAATTGGCCAGGCCAGTTTACTTCGCTTCGTTATTCGTCGCTATTCGTTAAGAGATTGTTCGTTCGGTTTTGGCCCCTTTGTCACCCCCGCAGCTTCCTTTCTACCTCCTTATTCTCCTCCCTTTGTTGCCACCCTCTTCACGCATTCATCGGTGTCTCTGGTTTTGTTGTTGCACTCAAATTACAGTGAAGCCGCCAATTAAATGCCGACGATTTAATTTCAGGATAAAAATCGAATCTCGGTAATTTGAGGACGGACACAATGGAATTCGCCAGGCTTCCATTTACAACCATATTGTGCATTATAAAAGGTTTTTCCCTTGGGATAAAAAATCAAATTTTCATGTTTTTAACAGAAATCTTAATGGTTTATTTTAAAAACCCCAGAGACTTAAATAAAAGCCTGTAACTCGATCACAATGACTCAGATGGACAGATATAAATATTTACCTCGTTAATTAGCAGATTCATTTAAATTTGACAACTTGGGTTAATCAAATGCTTTTAGATCGTCTATCCATCAATTTCTAGTCAATTATCGTACCTTCTTTTGTTAGGTGAATCAATTATACAATTATTACAAATTTTGTGGAAACTTTCAATCTAATTTACGACCTAATAAGATTTAACAAATGTACAAAAATGTACTCTCACTGGCGTGCACTGACAAACTCTAAATAAAAATATTAATTTTCTTAAAATTAAACGTAATTTAAATTAAGGTGTCATTCATGTTACTAATTGACTGGCACCCACTGTGCAGGCTGATTTTCCATTTGAATTTGCTCATTTCGTTGCCGTCTATATCATCGCGCTTTTTGTCATCGTTCTGTGGGATTTTATTGATTCGTTTAAATATTTATTCATGCCAAGTTCTCCTTGGGCCTTTGATGTTGTGGTTGTTGCTCTTATTGTTGTTGCCGTTCGGTTGGTGGCACATAATTAAAGCGATTTAGTTAATTGATGTCAACACACAGCGTAGTTAGCATTCATCGGCTGTCTGCGCATTTTCCCCAGCACGTTTGTGTGCTTCTCAGAGACACAATTTGTGTGCAATTTGTAGCCGAGTGTTTTTGTGATTGTTTCTTCGACACACATACACACATCCCAACCCCCCTGCCCCTGCGCGCTGCTTGGGTATTAAATTGTTGACAATTGTTTTGAGCTTGAGAGAATTAACCTTTAGTTGCTGGTTATGTCATGATATTTGCCTAGTGTTTCGTATTCGTTCGCCATTAAATAGCCACAAATATATTGCATCGCCTTTGTGTAGTTTAATTGCTTTTTGTCTTACGATTATATCACCCATCCAGCCGGTGCGTTTTAGAATTGCAATAATCGAATCTTGATTGATTTCCACAAATAACTTTAATAGTGAAAATCTATAATTACGGCTCGGGTAATTCGACTCGACTCACAGTAGTCATCAATCACTAGGTGTAATGGAATTGGCTTGAATGGAATCTGTCAATAACAACCAAGTTATCACATAACTAAAGTTATTAATATACCTTAATACGACTGGATAATTGAATTCTGTTGGGTGCCCAATGAACCAAGCTAGTTTACGAGCTTAAGCGGCTTTGAATGATTGTAATTTGAATTAACGATATGTAAATTAATATAGACTACAATTTTCTTTATTAATATTATGTCACCTTATTAATTTTAATTGAATTTAGCGCCTAGTGATTTATCAACTTATGAAATACTGAAGTATTTTTATTCTAAAAGTTATAACATTTTAAGAAATCCTCAGAGAAACGCTTATTATTTGAACCAGCCTATAAGATAATATATAATTCACGACGTCCCAAACCACAAATCACTTGCATCATTGCCCGGATTAAGATCTCTATAAAGTGTTTTTAAACACTCTCCATTCCACCCAACGCTGACCATTGATTTCAAATGCAAATTATCCATATGCATATATTCAGTTATTAAGTATTCAATTCACGGCAACTCCACAGCAATTAGTGTAATCGCCGTGCAAATACGGAATCGGAGGAGGAGTGTTGTCCAATTAAGCCCGGTTTAGTCCCAGTTCCCGTCGTCGTCCCAAGTCGTAGTCTCGTAGTTGCAGTTCCCAGTTCCAAGCTTACATCATGCCATCTCGGCCGGGCCATAAAGATACAACTCAATGGTAGAAAACAAAACCAAAGCAAAATGCGATATAAAAAATAAAAACGAGAAAAATCGACAAATAAAATCACAAATCGCAAACAGGCAAGAGACAGTAGTGGCAGGAAGACATGAGTTCAGGGCACAGTGGTTGGCAAAAGGTATGGGCTTAGGCGATTTATAAGGATTTAATTGGGATAAAATCATAAATTGAAAAGAAGTATTAACATGGTTTAGAGATCGTTCATATTATTGCGATTCGACCAAATAGACCAAAGCAAACATCATTATTCGCCAAAGATACTACATCTTATAGATGGATACAAATACAGATTCATAATCCATATTTTATGAAGTATTTATTATTTTTCGCAAGTCCTTAATGCCCACTGTGCTTTAGTGCCTGTGTGTGTGTGCGGCGTTACACGAGTGCAGCTTAAATTGACTTGCTTGGCTTGGGAGCCGTGTGTGTGCTGTACAGTTGACAAGATTGACTAACTAACGAGGCAGGTAACCCAGCCAGGTAAACTAACTGACTGCCAAACACCTTTGAGTGGAAACCGGAGGCGAAACGGAAAACAATTACGCCGCACTGAGTCATGCATTTGGGAAATGTGGGAAAAAGAAAAAGTTCACGGGAAAGGGAAGTGGCTGTGGGTGTGGGTGTGGCGAAGGTGAAGGGTTTGGGTCTCATACACCCGTTTGTCCACCCCAAAAAAAAAACTCAAAAGTATTTTCACCTCATTTCGAGTGTTTAAGCTCGCACACAAGCACACCGGAATAAAATAAGGAGACCTAATTATATGGAGTCAATATTTAATGTAGCTAAAAATGTTACTTGGTTTAATTTTTAAAAATTTAGAACTAAATATTTTAAAAGGTTTGCTTTACAAGTATTTTAGTACTTTTCAAGAATGTTTTAAATCAAAGATATAGGATTGAGATAAGATATCTGATAGATGCGTAGTATTATTAATATAATACGTTTAAATTAGTTTATTTTAACGAGATTTATAATCACAGACATTACTTTAACAAAATTTAAGAGTATCCTTTTGGAAAAACGCTTTGTTGTATTCTTATGATTAAATTGTTGATTGAATTAAGCTGCAGGGAGAACCCCCTATCTGATTAGTTTTAAGATTTTTTCCCTGTGCACCACTCACACTCACTCATACACACTCATCACACCCACAAACACGCACACGCATAATCATCGCACATCGTCACCAACACACACTCTCAAACACTCGAAAAAGTCAACTTTCAACTTGTTTGCCCAACTGCGACGAAGCGAACTAATAAATTTCTACTTTTTGTTTTTTCTTTCTCCCCCCTCCCACTCCTTACAATCTCACCCAAACACCACCCCCTAATGATTTTTTTCGCAGATTTTTCAAGACGCAGACTTAACTGCGCGCCAGTGTGTGTGTGAGGGAGGAGTGGAGAGTAGAGTGGCGATGATGATGTAGCGATAATGATGATGGCGCGATAATGATGCTAATGATAATGATCCAAGCAGCAACAACAACTAGAGCCGCTACAAATGAGAAAAGTTGCCGCCGCGAAAGTACAGCAATGTGGAAAACTGTGAATTCGTCGACCAGAAACTCCCAGAAACGCAGAAAAACTAAACGCGCAAAAAGAAGAATTTTCATCAGGCCATAAAACCAACAACAACCATAGCTGAAATAGCAAAAAGAACAAAGGAAAACTGTCGTAAAAAACGCAGAAGAGGCAGCAAGGAAAACCCACCACTTTACAGCAACAACAACAGAAACTGTAAGAATTTCAATTTCCAGCAAACAAAAATATAAAAAAAAAAAACACTCAAGCAACAACAACAACTCAAAACGAGAAAATCCTGCAAAGACAAAACAAAAGAAAAGAAAAAGTTCACGTTCGAAGTAGAAAAACCACTTAAACGTCGATGACAACTAAACCAGCGGGTGTGAGGGAGATAGCAGCCAGAGAAGTGCAACAGAGAGAGAGACGTTGAGAGAGAGCAGGAGTCTTTTCTCGCACTCCCAAAAAGGAGTCTGCGAGAGTAAGAGAGAGCCAAGGAATTGAGTTTAAGGAGCAGTTGTTTTGCCTCCTATATCCCATTCTTTATTTTATTTTTTGTTTTTTTTTTTGTTAACTGCACACATTTAGTGGTGGCAAGGCGTGTAAAGGTGGTGGTGTGATGTCAGTGTTGTCAGCTTGGACGTTTTCTCGTTGGAAAATATATAGGGACTCTTAAGGACTTTTTATGAAATTTGTATAAACTCCAAAATTACTTCTCAATATTTGTATCTTAACCTTAGGATATCAATTCCATTTTAATTGGACATTTTATGATGTTTAATTAATTAAAATTAATAAACACTGGATTCCTAAGTTTCTTATTTAATCAAAAATTGAATTTATCTATGCATTCTAAGATTTCAAACATCTTATCCTCCTTCAACCTAAAAGATTTTAGATACTCCCATAGCTTGGCTATTTTTTAAGGCTGCCATCACTGAAGGCTGTGTGTCGGTGGTCACGCAAGACGTAGCAGAAGCAGCGCGGCAGAAGGAGGCAGCTGCAAATGCAATTGCACCTTTAGCGCGCTTCTCGTCCAGGAGAGCCAGGGAGAGCCTGAGAGAGTGGGCTTGGAGAGTAGCGCCGTGTGAGAGCGGGAGTGGTAGTGGGAGGGGAAAGCGGGCGAACGCGTTCAGGCAAGAGAGCCGCACAAAGCCGAGGCTCTGGAGCAGCGACGTCACCTTCGGCTTTGTAGTTGTAATTCGCAAAGCAAGGAGCGCGCAACGGAGAGAAAAAAGGCGAAAATAAGTAAATAAATACACCAAGAAAGAGTGCCAGAAGTGAGTGGGGGGCGCGGGGGAGTGAGGCAGGAGCGAAAAAAACGAGTTGCCAAAGGCGACAACAACAAGGAAAAGGGGCGCAAAATTGACGCATTCCAAACGCGGTTGTTGTTAGTGCTTGTGTTGTTGTTTGTGCTTTTGCTAGTACTAAATACCGGTCTTTTTAGTTGGTCTCTCTTTTACATCAACCAAGTTTGTGTGCCCTCTCTCTTATCCACAGTGGCGATCTAGCATCTCAAAGTCTCCACGAAAACCGAACGGGAAATCAATCGTTATCGAAAAATCGTTCCTGGTAATTCGCGATCGCAATTCAAAATCAAAAATTGAAGAGGCAAACAGCAAATGCAGATGCAAAGGCTACAAGCGCTAAGTAAATGCTACCATGGGCCGCTCCAAGTTTCCCGGCAAGCCATCCAAGTCGATCAACCGTAAGCGGATCAGTGTCCTGCAGCTGGAGGATGAGGCCACTGCCACCGCAGGCGGCTCCAATCCGAGTCCGCATTCCGATCCTCCACCGCCTTCGGAGCAGCCTCCTCCGCCGCCACCCCAGCAGACGGAGTCTCAAACGGGCGCCGAATCCGCGCCAGCGCGTGAAAAGGGCGGCCACAACAATTGTGATAACGATGAGGACGATAATCCGCCGGGTGCCGGGGCCTCAATCTCGGGCAATGCGACCGGAACCTCCTCATCCTCCACCTCGGAATCCACGAGCAATGGCTCTAGTTCCAGCTCAGGATCCGGCTCGGGATCGGGTTCAACCAATGGCAATGGAGTAAATGGCGGCACCCATCACAAAAGTGCAGCCAACGGAGGAGAGCAGGATCAAAATGCAAATGGTGATAAAAGTAAGGGCAGCAGTTCGAGGAGAGTTTCCACGGGAAGTCTAGTGACGATCGGCCCCACTGCTGGAGCAGGAACTGCAGCAGCTGCTAACGGAAAACCCTCGGCAAGCTCTGGGAAATCCTCTGCTGGATCTGCTGGGGGAAAATCTACGGCATCAACTGCTGGGAAGTCTTCAAGGACCACGATATTGTCTGGGACCTCTTCAGTAAGATCGTCGGAAGTGCTAGCCACCCCTGTCTTGCCATCTGCATCCAATTCTGGAGTACCGGGTGGAACAACACCCGATGTAGCCGCTGCAGCAGCGCTGGGGTCAGGCTTTGGGAAATCTCTAAGCTTAACCATCAGTACATCGTCCGGAAAGTCTAATAAAGGAACTACTGGTGAGGGTAGCTCCGGAGCAGCGTCTCCCCGACCCGGACTATCCCCCAGTGCATCGTCTGCCTCATCCGCAGGATTACTCTCGCCTGGAGCCATCTCCCCTGGCGGTTCCTTTGCAATAAGCGCGGCTCTGCTGCGCGCCCGCAAGAATGGCAACAAGAAGTTCAAGAATTTGAACCTGGCCAGGGCCGAAGTAATGCTGCCCTCCACCTCCAAGCTGAAGCAGCAGCAGTTGCAGCTCAACTGCCCAGTGGCGGGCAGCCCCTCCTCCTCAACCTCAACCTCCTCTGCGCCGGCAGCCACCACTTGTCCCTCTGCGGCAGGGGCGGGAGCGTGCGAGCCGGTCGAGGATGCGGCCCCGGTAAGTTAATTTCCAGATTTCCAGCCGGGTGTGCTGGCTGGGTGCTGGTCGCGGGTCCGTCCCCTCTTGCTTTTATTTTTATGAATATGTTTAAGCCGCTTTTCCCGCCACCTTAAGTTTTTAAGCTCCGCAACTGATTCGAGTTGAGCTGCGTTGCGTGCACCCTTCACAAACAAACACTCTGCACTCCGATTTGCGATTCCCGCAATGTAAATACGAGCAAGGGGAACCCCCTCAAGTTGGTCTGGTCTGGACGGGTCTCTGGTCTCTGGCCTGGTCACCCCTTTCTGCCACGCCATTGTTACCTGCTCGCTTACCTGCTTAATTGGCTTTTATGACGTTTTAGCGCTTGCAACTCAACTTGCTTCCCCACATACATACATATGTGTATGCGTGTGTCTGCCCCAGACGGCTGACGGTCATGTGACGCTGATGGCAATGGTGGTGGTGGTGTCTGTGCCCCTGCTTATACTCATACTTACTGCTTAGTAACTTGTTTTTTTGCACCCAGAGCCCCCTTCCAAGTGATCCCCTTCGAAGAGCAGCACTTGCTTCTGGTCCTTTGCATGCTTCTTAGTGTTTTACTTAACTTTACACGGGAAGAAACTATTGGTTAATGTTTAATAATAATAATAATCCTATATATGATACTCTACACAATGGTTAAAGGACTTACGGATTTTTAACTTTGACATACACGAAATCTAAACTATTGGTCTTATGGCTCTATGAATAATAATCTTAATTATTTCTTCACTAAAAAAAAAACAGAACCCATTGAATTCATTTAATTTTTGGTTTGTCAAGCAAATTAAAAGTTACCTCTTAAAACATAAATTATAGTCAAGTGCCATTAAATCTGATCGATATTTTAACCTGATTATATCTTGAAGGATTTTTATTATATTATATTACATTATATTATATTATATTATATTCGTTGTATTTCTAACTAACCCCTTATATTTATAAGATTTCAACTAAATTTATAATTAATTTCTATAAAAAGAAAACCATTTGATTTTGTTTCTGTGTGTCCCCTTTGCCTGCTTTTGATTTTGCCTGTATTGCTTTCCGCTTTTCGCATTTTATGAGCCCGTAGTTAGTTGCATGAATTATTGATTGGCCGGGAACCCCTTTCCCAAGTTCTCCCTTCTTCAACCCTCGCTAACCCTCTTGTTTTGTGTACTTTTTCAGAAGCGAGTCGCTAGCGAAATGCCCAATGAAGGGGCCCTGGATGTCGCTCCATCAAGCTCCGCGTCATCTTCAAATGGTGCAGGATCCGGAGCAGCAGTCCCAAATGCTGTTCCAGCACCAGGAGGTGCAGGGGCAGCTGCTGCGGGAAGTAGTAGCCCCAATTCAGCAGCAGGAGCAGGATCAGTATCGGGAGCTGGAGGAGCTGCACCAGCAGCAGCAGGGTCCGCGACGGCAACCAAGCAAAAGAAGACGGTGACCTTCAGGAATGTGCTGGAGACGAGCGACGACAAGTCCGTGGTAAAGCGATTCTACAATCCGGACAATCGCATACCTTTGGTCTCGATCATGAAGAAGGACTCGCTGAACCGGCCACTGACTTACTCCCGCGGCGGGGAGTGCATCGTGCGGCCTTCAATATTGTCCAAGATACTCAACAAGAAGAACTCCAACATCGACAAGCTCAATTCGCTCAAGTTTCGATCCGTGCCAGCTACTAGTTCCTCCTCCTCCTCCTCTCAGGACTCAGGATCGGGATCGTCTCCCAATGTATTTGGCTTATCCCGCGCTTTCGGGGCTCCCATGGAGGAGGATGACGACGAGCAGGGCGGCGTAACCTTTCGTCGAAACGAATATCAAAACAAGGAAATGGACGATGAAATGATGGACGAAGATGACGATGTGGAGGATGCCGAAGATGAGGAGGACGACAACGATCAAGAGGAACTCGATGAGGCAGCCTCCGATAAGAGCGCGGAAACAGAGAAGAGTGAAGGAGGAGCTGAGGACAGCGAAGAGAAACAGCAGCAGCTGGTCATGGACTCGCACTTTGTGCTGCCCAAGAGGAGCACCCGATCCTCGCGCATTATCAAGCCCAACAAGAGGCTGCTGGAAGAGGGTGCCATCAGCAAGAAGCCTCTGCCACCGCCGCCGGCCAAAAGCCTCTTTGGGGGAGCCTCCGCGGCGTCCTCCAACTCACCTGGAATCCTGAAAATCCCCAGCTTTGGAAGCCTTAAATCAAATACCAGTGCAGCCGCGAGCTCAAGCTCCAGCATCTTTGTGCTGAGGCAGCCGCGCTTGCAGTTCCAGGGAGACAGCAAGCTGGGACCCAGTGCCATTCCCACGACGCCAGCTGCAGGAGGAGGAGGAGGAGCCCTAACGGTATCCACCTTCGGAGCGCTTGCCGGCCAAAGCAGCAGTCCCAGCTCCTGTGCCGTGTGCTCCACGACTGTCAAGGAGATGACCCAGGCCCGTAAGTACGGTGTTGTGGCCTGCGACGTCTGCCGGAAGTTCATCTCGAAGATGACCAAGAAGTCCATATCGGCCACCTCGAGCAGTGCCAATGCCAATGCTGCTTCCTCCTCGTCGACGAGCCACCAGCCTCAGCAGCCGCAGCAGCTGCAATGCAAGGGTAGCGAAGGCACCACCTGCATCTTCCACTCGGGGAAGAGTCAGTTGAAGAATTTCAAGAAGCTGTACAAGGAGAGGTGCCTGGCCTGCTGGCTGAAAAAATGTCTCAACTCCTTTCAGCTGCCGGCGGCGCACAGGAGTCGTCTGGGTGCCATTCTTCCAGCAGGAATGCGGCCAGAGACCAATCCCCGAGAGGATAAGATCTCCACGGAACTGCTGTCGCCCACGGGCAGCTTGAGATTTGCCGCCTCCTCTACGTCCTCCGCCTCTGCTTCAACTTCGAACTCCGGCGTCAAGTGGAAATCCAATCCGGACTCAGCTTCGGCTCTGCCCACCATCAAGGCCAATCCTTTGGCGGAAAATAATGTGACATTTGGCAGCACTCCCTTGCTGCGTCCCGCTATCCTGGAGAAGCCGCTCTTCCTCAAGATAAGCAATGCGGCGGACCAGAAGTTAACAGGTGGTGAGGCCATCAGTCCCAGTCTGGCGGGAAAAAAGGCTTCGATCAAGCAGGAGAAGGCCAAGGAGAAGGAAAAGGAAAAGGAGCAGGAGCAGCTGCCGAGTGAGAAGCCTCTCAGCCCCGCGTTGGCAGTTGCCAAGAAATCAACAGCATCAGCTGAACCTGCTCCCACGGAATCCCAAAAGGAGGAGACGCCGCAGACAGGAGCTGTTGCGCCTGCATCATCATCATCCGCGGGAACATCTCAGTCAGCAGCAGCTGCTCAAGCTTCAGAAGTTACTCCAGGGGAAGCCAGTAATGCCCCAGGCGATGGCCTGAAGCGTCAGAGAATTGACCTGAAGGGTCCTCGCGTTAAGCATGTGTGTCGCAGTGCCTCCATTGTGCTGGGCCAACCCTTGGCTACCTTTGGAGAAGATCAAGAGGAGGTGGATGAGCAGGAGCGTCAGGAGATTGTTGGTCCAGAGCCAGCAATAGCTGATCCTGCTCCAGTGGCAGTTACAGATGAGAACGACAACTGTGCCAGCTGTAAGACGCCGCCTGTTGAGGAGCCTAAGCCCAGTAAATCCTCGCCAGCAGAGGCTAGAAAGGTAGCCGGAAAGGAGGCAGGAGCCATGCCAGCTGGAAAGGTTACTACCAGAACAGTGATGGCGGCCAGCAAAAAGCAGCGAAACGGAGACATCATTACCTCCTCCTCCGCCAGCTCCGTCGTCACTCAAGCCCAGAGTCAAACGCAAGGACGCAGGACGAAGGAAGCTAGGCAGCAGCAGCAGCAGCAACGCACCCTGATATCGATCGACTTCTGGGAGAACTACGATCCGGCCGAGGTGTGCCAATCGGGCTTCGGATTAATTGTAACGGAGACAGTGGCTCAGCGAGCGCTGTGCTTCCTCTGCGGCTCAACGGGGCTGGATCCGTTGATCTTCTGCGCCTGCTGCTGCGAACCGTATCATCAGTATTGTGTCCAGGATGAGTACAACCTGAAGCACGGCTCCTTTGAGGAGACCACGCTAATGGGCAGCCTGCTGGAGACGACGATAAATGCCTCCACTGGCGGAGTAGGTGGCGGATCTTCATCGCTCAATCAGCTGACGCAGCGCTTGAACTGGCTATGTCCACGCTGCACTGTCTGCTACACCTGCAATATGTCCTCCGGATCGAAGGTCAAGTGCCAAAAGTGCCAGAAGAACTATCACAGCACTTGCCTGGGCACCAGCAAGCGCCTCCTGGGTGCCGATCGTCCGCTGATCTGTGTTAATTGCCTGAAGTGCAAGTCCTGTTCCACGACTAAGGTGTCCAAATTTGTGGGCAACTTGCCCATGTGCACGGGCTGCTTTAAGCTCCGCAAGAAGGGCAACTTCTGTCCCATCTGCCAGAGATGCTACGACGACAATGACTTTGATCTGAAGATGATGGAGTGCGGCGATTGCGGCCAGTGGGTGCACTCTAAGTGCGAGGGCCTCAGCGACGAGCAGTACAACCTGCTGAGCACGCTCCCCGAGTCCATAGAGTTTATCTGCAAGAAGTGTGCTCGGAGGAACGAAAGCTCCAGGATCAAGGCCGAGGAGTGGCGTCAGGCTGTGATGGAGGAGTTCAAGGCGAGCCTGTACAGTGTGCTGAAGCTGCTCAGTAAGTCAAGGCAGGCCTGTGCCCTGCTCAAGCTAAGTCCCCGCAAGAAACTGCGCTGCACTTGTGGAGCTGCTAGCCATGGCAAGCTCCAGCCTAAGGCCTTGCAATTCAACAGCGGATCGGACAATGGCCTGGGCAGTGATGGTGAGTCTCAGAACAGCGACGATGTCTACGAATTCAAGGAGCAACAGCAGCAGCTCCTTAAGAAGTCGCGGGCGAAATCACTGCCCTGCTCCTGCCAGCCGCCCTCAGCCATCGGTAGTAGTCACAGCAGTCACCCGCAATCCTTTAGTCTGGTGGAGATCAAGCAAAAGATTGCCGGCAACTCGTACGTCTCCCTCGCCGAGTTCAACTATGATATGAGCCAGGTGATTCAGCAGAGCAACTGCGACGAACTGGACATTGCCTACAAGGAGCTACTGAGCGAGCAGTTTCCCTGGTTTCAAAACGAAACCAAGGCCTGCACGGATGCCTTGGAAGAGGATATGTTTGAGTCCTGCTCCTATGAGGACTTGCCGGATGGTGGAACAGGCAGTGCCTCCGTGTACAACGAACACTCGCAGCAGCAGACAGAGTCCCGATCGGGAGTGCTCGATATACCCCTCGAGGAGGTGGACGATCTGGGCGGTAGCTGCGGAATCAAGATGCGTCTGGACACCCGGATGTGTCTGTTCTGTCGCAAAAGTGGCGAGGGTTTGTCCGGAGAGGAGGCGCGTCTCCTGTACTGCGGCCACGATTGCTGGGTGCACACCAACTGTGCCATGTGGTCGGCGGAGGTGTTTGAGGAGATCGATGGTTCGCTCCAGAATGTGCACAGTGCAGTGGCCAGGGGCAGGATGATCAAGTGCACGGTGTGCGGCAATCGCGGAGCCACCGTTGGCTGCAACGTACGATCCTGTGGCGAGCACTATCACTATCCCTGTGCGAGGAGCATAGAGTGTGCTTTTCTCACGGACAAGTCCATGTACTGTCCAGCGCATGCCAAGAACGGGAATGCCCTGAAGGCCAACGGTTCTCCCAGTGTCACCTACGAATCCAACTTTGAGGTGTCCCGTCCAGTCTACGTGGAGCTGGACAGGAAGCGGAAGAAGCTTATTGAACCCGCAAGGGTGCAGTTCCACATTGGATCTCTGGAAGTTCGCCAACTGGGCGCCATTGTGCCAAGATTCTCCGATTCCTACGAGGCTGTGGTGCCCATCAATTTCCTGTGCAGCCGCCTGTACTGGTCATCGAAGGAACCCTGGAAGATAGTGGAGTACACGGTCCGCACCACCATCCAAAACAGTTGCTCCACCCTGACAGCCCTGGATGTGGGTAGGAACTACACTGTGGATCACACGAATCCCAATGGCAAGGAGGTTCAGCTGGGTTTGGCCCAGATTGCACGCTGGCATAGCAGCTTGGCAAGAAGCGACCTCCTGGAGAGCGACTGGAGCACTGGTGATTTCCCCAACACAAATTCCTGCGTGCCACCCGACGAGAATACGGAGGAGGAGCCGCAACAGCAGGCCGATCTGCTGCCGCCCGAGATCAAGGATGCCATATTTGAGGATTTGCCGCACGAACTGCTGGACGGCATCTCGATGCTGGACATCTTCATGTACGAGGATCTGGCGGACAAGACGGACCTGTTTGCCATCAGCGACCAGTCCAAGGACGGCACTCAGGCGATGTCCTCCAACCAGGCGCAAGGCCAGACGCAGGGTCAGGTGAGCATCTGCGACGAGGATACTAGGAACTCCAATACGAGCCTGGGTAATGGCGGCTGGCCGGCCAGCAATCCCGTGGAAGATGCCATGCTCTCGGCGGCCAGGAACTCGAGTCAGGTGCAAATGCTTAAGACACTGGCCTGGCCGAAGCTGGACGGGAACAGTGCCATGGCAAATGCCATCAAAAGGCGGAAGCTCTCCAAGAACCTGGCCGAGGGAGTGCTGCTCACGCTGAGCAATCAGCAGCGCACCAAGAAGGAGATGGCGCATGTGGCCGGTGTGTCACGGAGGCAGTCCATCAGCGAGACAATTTCCGTGGAGGGAGGAGCCACCACATCCGGCGGTGGATCGATGCGCAGCAAGAGCTTCACCTGGAGTGCGGCCAAGCGGTATTTTGAAAAGAGTGAGGGACGCGAGGAGCCCGCCAAGATGCGGATTATGCAAATGGATGGCGTGGATGATTCCATCACTGAGTTCCGTATCATTGCTGGCGATGGGAACCTGTCCACGGCCCAGTTCACCGGGCAGGTAAAGTGCGAGCGATGCCAATGCACCTACCGCAACTATGACTCCTTCCAGCGTCACTTGCCCACCTGCTGTGATCCCGCCATGTCTACCAGCGAGTCGGACTCGGATGTGAATGCAGCGGCAACCAGCAGCAATAATCCCGCCCAGCTTAGTGCCGAGAGCCTGAATGAGCTGCAGAAGCAGCTCCTGGCCAATGCCGGCGGTCTGAACTATCTGCAGACCACCACAGCCTCGTTTCCGCAGGTTCAGAGCCTGGGTTCTTTAGGCCAGTTTGGTCTTCAGGGTCTGCAGCCTCTCCAGCTGCAGCCCCAGTCGCTGGGCAATGGCTTCTTCATCTCGCAGCCGAATCCCACAGCGCAAACCAATACGGATGAGCTGCAATTGTACGCCAATTCCCTGCAAAGTCTGGCCAATCTTGGAGGAGGATTTACCCTGGCTCAGCCAACGGTTACGGCTGCCCCAGCGCCTCAGCCTCAGTTGATAGCCGTGTCCACGAATCCAGACGGCACCCAGCAGTTCATACAGATTCCCCAGGCGCAGATGCAGGCCACAACGACGGCGGCGCCCACGGCCACATATCAGACGCTGCAGGCCACCAATACGGACAAGAAGATAATGCTTCCTCTGACCACGGCGGCGGCGGGGAAACCCCTGAAGACAGTGGCCACCAAGGCGGCACAGCAGGCGGCGGCCGCCAAGCAGAAGCAGCTAAAGTCCGGCCACCATCAGGTGAAGCCCATCCAGGCCAAGCTGCAGCCGCACCCTCAGCAGCAGCAGCAGCAGCAGCAGCAGGTGCATCAGCAGGTCCAGCAGCCCATCACTGTGATGGGCCAGAATCTCCTCCAGCCACAGCTGCTCTTCCAGAGCAGTGCCCAGGCGCAGGCGCCGCAGCTTATCCTGCCGCAGGCTCAGCCGCAGAACATCATCTCCTTTGTAACCACTGGCGATGGCAGTCAAGGTCAGCCGCTGCAGTACATCTCCATACCCACGACGGGGGAGTACAAGCCGCAGCCACAGCCAACGCAGTTCCTGACCACAGCCCCTGCGGGCGGTGGGGCGACCTATCTGCAAACGGATGCGAGCGGGAACCTGATGCTCACCACCACACCGACCAATTCCGGACTGCAGATGCTGACAGCGCAGCCCCAGGTGATTGGAACCTTGATCCAACCGCAGACGCTGCAGCTAAGCGGAGCCACCGATGGAAGTCAGGCGGCCGGCACTCACCATCATCATCAGCAGCAGGTTCAGCCTTTGATTTTGGGCGGAACAGGCGGAGGAGCCACTGGCCTAGAGTTTGCCACAACTACCACGCCACAGGTGATCCTGGCCACGCAACCCATGTACTATGGCCTCGAGACAATCGTCCAGAACACGGTGATGTCGTCGCAGCAGTTTGTGTCCACCGCCATGCCCGGTGTGCTTAGCCAGAATGCCAGTTTCTCGGCCACCACGACGCAGGTGTTCCAAGCGAGCAAAATAGAGCCAATTGTGGATCATCTGCCAGCTGGATATGTGGTGCTCAACAATCCTGGAGATGCCTCCAGTGCCGGGACTACCTTCTTGAATGCAGCAAGTGTGCTCCAGCAGCAATCTCAGGATGATACCACCACGCAGCAGCTGCTCCAAAATGCCAACTTCCAGTTCCAGACTTCAGTGCCCAGTTCATCGGCAGCTTCCTCTGCCTCGATGGATTACAGCTCACCTATGGTCGTCACGGCCAAGATTCCGCCGGTGACGACGCAACTGAAGCGGACGAATGCCCAGGCCAAGGCGGCGGGCATGTCCAAGGTGCCGCCACAGCCACAGGTGGTGGTCAACAAGGTGCTGCCCACCAGCATGGCCCAAATGAAAAGTGCCTCCGGCCTCAAGCAGGTGACTCAGCAGCAGCAGCAGATGAAGGGCATGAAGGCAACTGCGGGGGCAGCGGGAGGAACTGGAACCAATTGCGGAGCACCGCCCAGCATTGCCTCGAAGCCGCTGCAAAAGAAAACAAACATGATTCGACCCATACACAAGCTGGAGGTGAAGCCCAAGCTGATGAAGCCCACGCCCAAGACCCAGGCGATGTTGCAGCAGCAGCAGCAACAGCAGCTGCAACATCCTGCCGTGGTGATCAGCAGTCAACAGGTGCCCAAGATTGTTCAGCAGCAGCAGCGTATTCCAACCCAACCACAGCAGCAGCAGCAGCAGCCAACGCAGGCCACAGCGCAGCTGCTCCACATTCCGCAGCAGCCGCAACAAACACTGCATCTCCAGCAACAGCAGCAGCAACAAGTGCAAGTCCAGCCCTCCATGCCGATCATAAGCATTGCCGAGGCAACGCCAGTGCCAGTCCTGCAGAATCAGACGCAGTTCGTCATAGAAGAGCAGCAGCAGCAGCAGCCTCAACAGGATCTGCTGAGTCGCGTGCAGGTGCAGCACTTCCCCACCAGCAACACAGGAAGTAGTAGCAACTGCAACAGTGTCCTTCCCACCAATGTGGTGAATCCTCTGCAGCAACAGCCGCCACCAACCAGCAGCAGCAGCTCCACGACGCGGCCCACCAACCGAGTTCTGCCTATGCAGCAGCGTCAGGAGCCAGCTCCTCTGGCCAACGACTGTCCCGTGGTTCCCTCACCCACACCGCCGCCCAAGCCTCTTGAGCAGCAGGTAATCCCGCACCAGGTCACCACTCCCAGTGCTGCCTCCAAGTGTTACGCTCAACTGAAGGCAGCCTCGTCTCCCTCACCCGTTTACGAGACGGAACTAAAGTCTGTGCCGGGCCTGGAAAGCATTGTGCCTGTAGTTGCCCACATGGATACTATTCTGGAGGAGCAACCGGCCACCGAGTCCATCTATACGGAGGGACTGTACGAGAAGCACTCACCGGCCGACGCCAAGACAGAGCAGCTGCTTTTGCAGCAGCAGCAGCGGGAGCAGCTGACTCAGCAGCTGGCCAATGGCTACAGTATGCATTTGGAGAAGCACAGCTTCCAGGCCATGGAGGCCATGGAAACGGATGCCTACAACAACCACGGAGAAGATGATCTCGATGAGGAGCTCGATGAGGAAGATGAGGAAGACGACGACGAGGAGGACGAAGAGGAGGATGACTTTAGCTTGAAGATGGCCACCTCGGCGTGCAACGATCACGAGATGTCCGACAGCGAAGAGCCGGCAGTGAAGGATAAGATTAGCAAGATTCTCGACAACTTGACCAACGATGACTGTGCGGACTCCATAACCACGGCCACCACAATGGAAGTGGTGGAGGCCAGCACAGCGGGCTATCAGCAGATGGTGGAGGATGTCCTGGCCACCACAGCTGCCCCAGAGTTCGACGAGGGTGGGCCCTTGGAAACGGCTGCCGTGGAAGCGGCTGCCAGCTACATCAACGAAATGGCCGATGCCCAAGTTCTGGAGCTCAAGCAACTGCAGAATGGTGTGGAGCTGGAGCTCAAGCTCAGGCGGAAGCAGGAAATGGAGCCTGAAAAGGGAGCGAGTATGGTGCCGCCACCCACGTTAGCTGCTCCCGAAGTGCCGCCGCCACCGCCACCTGTTCGAGAGCCCAGGAAGATCAGTGGCCCCCATCTTCTGTACGAGATCCAAAGTGAAGATGGCTTCACCTACAAGTCCAGTTCCATAGCGGAGATCTGGGAGAAGGTGTTTGAGGCGGTGCAGGTGGCCAGGCGAGCCCATGGCCTCACTCCACTGCCGGAGGGTCCTCTGGCGGATATGGGCGGCATTCAAATGATTGGCCTGAAGACCAACGCCCTCAAGTATCTGATTGAACAGCTGCCGGGCGTGGAGAAGTGCTCCAAGTATACGCCCAAGTATCACAAGCGGAATGGTAACGTTTCCATAGCGGCCAGCATTGGTGGAGGCAGCACTGGTGGAGGCGGAGGCGGTGTCAGTGCCAGGACAGCTTCGGCTGGTGCTGCTGCTGGCGGCGGCGATTCCCACCACAGCCTGCTCGACTATGGCTCGGACCAGGAACTGGAGCTGCAGGAGAATGCCTTCGAGTGTGCTCGCTGTGAGCCTTATGCCAATCGCAGCGAGTACGACATGTTCAGCTGGCTGGCTTCCCGGCATCGCAAGCAGCCCATCCAGGTGTTTGTCCAGCCGTCGGACAATGAACTGGTGCCTAGGTGAGTCCTGAGAGAGTTTTCTTTTGGGAAAAAGGTTTATTAATTTATGGTTTTCAGGCGAGGAACTGGCAGCAATCTACCCATGGCCATGAAGTACAGGACTCTGAAGGAGACCTACAAGGATTATGTTGGCGTCTTTCGCTCGCACATCCATGGACGTGGTCTCTACTGCACCAAGGATATTGAAGCTGGTAGGAATATATATTTAAAACTTAACCAGACAGGTTATAAAACCAGTTTTCTTTGCAGGTGAAATGGTCATTGAATATGCCGGCGAACTCATTCGGTCCACGCTAACGGACAAGAGGGAACGCTACTATGATGGCCGCGGCATTGGCTGCTACATGTTCAAGATCGATGACAATCTGGTGGTGGATGCCACCATGCGCGGCAATGCGGCCCGCTTTATCAATCACTCCTGTGAGGTAAGTAATTACTTCATTCTATGTTTGTGAAAAAGGATCCTTAAATCTCTATTTTTTTGCAGCCAAATTGCTACTCCAAGGTGGTGGACATACTCGGACACAAGCACATCATCATATTTGCCCTGCGCCGCATTGTCCAGGGCGAGGAGCTTACCTACGACTACAAATTCCCCTTCGAGGAGGAGAAAATACCCTGCTCATGCGGCTCCAAAAGGTGTCGCAAGTACTTAAATTAGAAAATGGTATAAGACGAAAAGGAACGCTGGGCGTCCAGTAAGAAATCTGCATACTCAGAGCGAGAATCTAGGGGTTGTTGTTCCAAAAAAGAGAGTAATCTTATGGGCAATGTATCGGAATCAAAAGAAAAGTTTATATTGTTATATACTGCATTGATTTAAGACACCAAATTTGAACCATACATGGAGATTTTAATGTTGCAATAAATTAATATTTTAAGGATTTTTTAGAATATTAATTATAATGAATAAATTAATTTAATATTTTATAATATTTTTTTTCGATATTATAAATATTAAAATAATATCGTAAAAATTTGAAAAATATTAAATTAATTTATTTTCTTTAATTTATATTGCAATCTTGTTTAAAAATTGAAAATTTTATTGATCAACATTTTTCTATATTTGATTTTTAGTATATTTTAGTCTCAGTACATTACATGCAGCACTTTTGATACTGTTTTTTTACTGATATTGTTGCCAGAGGAAAAATCATGACTTTTTCATAATAATTATTGATATAATAATTTACAAAATAGTTAAAAGTTGAATCCTTAAATCAATTTCACAAACAACACGTAGTTTTTTACAGTTATTCAAGTGTAAGCACATTTTTAAAACATTTTAAAAAAACTTTTATTAAAATAATAAAAAATAGTATTCAATTTGTATGACAAACTTGGCAAAAACTAAGTGAAAAACTCAGATTTTTCTTGTGAAGCCAACTTTATATAATGATCCTTTTGTTGTTTTTAAAATAGGATTTCAATTTGTATTCTAAAAAGAATGAAAATCTTAAAAGACATTGCCCTGAGATTACTCTCCCTAGAATCGCAACCCCAAAACACACACACCTGGAATTGTGAAATGTGAAACACTTGTAGTTAACGAAAGATGGAAAGTTATTTCGATCTATGTATATGTTTTGGTCCAATCGTGATATACTTTTTCGTTTAATGTAGTCCCCAAAATATACTTCTTAAGCAGTTAAGATAAAACAGTTGAAAACAGTTGATATTATATTCTACGAGTATATGTATCCTAAATATCTAAGACAAAGAGCATATGGCAACGAAGGCAACAGAGAAACTCGACGATGTCAGTATTCGGGAGGGCAGAGAAGATGGAATTAATTGTATATTTAATATGTTACATTACGTAGATATCACTTGGGCTCCGAACAGATTCTATATATAAACTCAACGCCTAATTAACTAAGCTAAGCTGATAAATATACACATATATAACACTTGTTGTGCTTAGGCGAACGATTAACTTACAGGGGCTTTTGTGTTAGATTGTAAATATATATTTCATACGGAATCATAATAAATATCTCTACATATTATTAATGTACAAGATTATTAAACTTAAAGCTAAGTTTAACCACGAATGTGTATAAGAAGAAAACTATTTTAATGTAGAAAGAGCTCGAGGGGCGTATATTTATGTTTGATTGAAGCTACGAATTAATAACCGCTAAAAACAATGCTTATATAAACACACATATATATTATATATTTAGAGAAGGAAACCAAGCATCACTCCCCAATGAAATTACCGAACAGCAACCACAAATCGTAATTGTATATTTATTATTTAACACCCTAAGTTGTAAGTTTTAAGCAAATGTAAATTTTTTTTGCCTAGAAAATCGGAGCACACAAAGCAGGAGTGCCACAGAAATTGCTAGAAAATGATTACAAAGAAAAGGTTCGAATAATAATTCAATTAATATTATAAAATATATTACTTTTTGTATCAGCGACTACCTGTGGCCCGCCTGCTGATTTATCGTAATAACCTTAGTTCTTCAGCAGCTCCCGTTTGTATTCTACTTAGTTTAACACGATTTATGTTTCGCTCGTAAGACTCTAGCATTATACAGTCCGCTCCTGGTATTTTGTCCAAAATTGTATCATGTATATTCCTAACCAGCGCGATCGGTCGGACGTTGTACAGAGGCAAACACACACAAAAAGAAGTTCCATAGCATTTTTTCTGGCAGCCATTCAATGAGACACGCGCGCACCCTTTTTGGCACGCTGTTGTCGAAGGAATTTTATATTTTTTATTCCCTAAAGAAAAAAAGTTTAATAAAAACTACAGATTAAAATTTAAAATTGAGTACTTGTGTATTATTTTTAAAAAAATTATTTCAGGGGTATTCGAACCTGGTTTGTATTGCTGAAAATATGGATGAGCAGATTATGTTGCAAATAACGTAAACAGAACTTTCTTTAATTAAAATGTTTAATTTTAAAATTTTCCGCCAAACAAACTCAGTTTGGTCACACTTAAATGACTTTTCACATAGAAGTTGCCACACTGTACGAGCATTTTATAGCAAAACAGCTGTTTATAGCAACAACAGCTGTTGTAGCAAGTGGAAAACGGTCACACTGCCCACCAGAACCGGTGTTTTGTTTTTAAGTTTATGTAAATAACTCTTATTTTCTATATTAATACAACTTTAAGAGCCATGTTAATACGAAGAATCAAGTGCCTGGGATACTTGGGCATACGTCACAGCAGTTCGCACTACGTGACAACGCCTATTTTTTACGTAAATGCTGGTGAGAAGCACATTACATATATTAGATAATTAATTATAAAAGATATTCCTGCTTATTATTAGCCCCACACATAGGCCACCTGTACTCGGCGGTGATAGCCGATGCCCACTGTCGCTACCAGCGTTTGAGACAACCAGAGAGCCAGGTGCGTCTCTGCACGGGAACCGACGAGCACGGCACCAAGATCCAGCAGGCGGCGCAGGTTCATGGAATACCAGTGGCCACATACTGCGACCAGATATCGGAACGGTATCGGGAGGTCTTCCGGAGTGCCAACATCCAGACGGATGACTTTATACGCACCACAGAGCAGCGACACAAGCGGGCGGTGGCCCATTTCTGGGTGAGATTAGTCATATTCCTCCTTTAGTTTCGTTTGTATCAACTTTATGTTTATTGCGATTCCCTAGCGCACCTTAAACTCCCGTGGACACATCTACTCGGCGGCCTACAGCGGCTGGTACTGCGTCTCCGACGAGACCTTCCTCACCGACTCCCAACTGCGCTTGGATGAGGCCTCCGGCACGCGGTACTCCCTGGAATCGGGCCACCCCGTCGAGTGGACCGAGGAGACCAACTACATGTTTCGTTTGTCGCAATTCCAGGATGATGTGCGTCACTGGGTCAAGGAGGAGGCACGCATACGCCCGGCAAAGTTCGAGAAGATCCTGCTGGACACTCTCAGTGAACCGCTGCCGGATGTGTCGGTTTCAAGGCCCTCGAATCGTGTTCACTGGGCCATTCCAGTGCCCGATGACGATACACAGACGGTGTACGTGTGGCTGGATGCCTTGGTTAACTACCTGAGCTCCCTGGGCTATCCGGATGAGGGTGTTAGTATGACTTGTGCCTGCTCCTGTGGCAACTTATCCTGTAATCTCTCTGCTCCTCCCTTTTAGTTCTCTGCTCAGTGGCCGCCCGCACAGCAGGTGATTGGCAAGGATATCCTCAAGTTTCATGGCATTTACTGGCCGGCCTTCCTGCTAGCCGCAGATTTGGAGCCACCGCATCAACTGTATGTGCACTCGCACTGGACGGTGGACGGTCAGAAGATGTCAAAGAGCAGGCACAATGTGGTAGACCCTGTCCAGGCATCGCAGCAGTACACCATGGAGGGATTGAGATACTTCCTACTACGCGAGGGCGTGGCCCACAGCGATGGCAGTGAGTGAAAATTCTACCTTTGATGTCGTGTCTCTGTGGCTTGTTCACTTTGTGGCTGCATTGGTTCCAAGGGGGGAGGAGCCAACCCTGCGGTTATTCAAATAGTTTTTCCATCAAATTATCAACCGAAACTGTTCCGAGGTTTGCCTGGTCGTTAGTTTTACCTTTTGCTTTAAATTTGCATTTCAATTTTATGCCCCAACTGAACCGAAAAAGGGGAACAAAGTTTTCATCTGGTCTGGGAGCACAGCCCAGCCTGACTTTTGTTTATTTGCCACGCAAAGTTTTCGCATTGAGAAGACGACGACGAATCTCTGGAATTTGCATACGTCCTGGGAAAAACAGTTGTGCCAAGTTCTATCCCCCCTGGATTGTCTGGTCACAGATATATCATAAGGTTGGTCTTTGGTATGGGCTTGAAGGATGTGGGATTCCCATTAGGGATGTGCATTCATATGTCAAGGGGAAAAGACCGATATATATGTGCAAAAATATCGTCTTCAATCGAAAATATCGTAGGCTTTGATATATTTTAGAGAAATATTATAGAAAAATGTCAGAAAAATTCAACTTTAAAAAAGATTTGGACTTGGACGTTTGTAAAGAACTCAAAACTTATGTGTTTTCAACAAGCATACATTAAATATAATATATAAAAAAAGTAATAATAGAAAAATATCGCATTTATCGTTAAATAATCGGAAAATATTTTATTTTATTTATTTGCCTCTTTTTCTGATTATATTAGCCTGATACACTAAACACAATATAAAATTAACCACAAAATTTTCCATAATATTTTTAACATCGATTTATAAATCGACATTCGCATAAAATATCGATTCAGTATCGGTTTATAAATATTTTCAGCCATCCCTGACTCCCATCTATATTTTGGGACTATTAAAAGCAATTAATACACTCCGCCAACTGTCACCTTTGGCTGCATTTTGGATTGACTTTCCCCAGCTTTTTCCAATTTACATAAATTGCTTATGTATAAATGTATGTATGTATGTATGATGTATGTGTGCAACTACCCCTCTTGCCAGCTCTTAAAATTTAATTTCCAATTATTGCTGACTCTTTGCCTTTTCCGCAATGGATTTTCCCAGACGCCAGGCGGCTGCTTTTTACGTTTTTGCCTTTATTCAATTTGCGCTTGTTGATGTTTTTATTCTTTTTTTATTATATATATTTTTTTTATATGCCCCCCGCCTTGTGGCTAATTTAATTGCATTTTTTATTGCATTTGAGCCTGCCAGCAGCAAAAATGGAAAACGAAAAAATACAGTGCGTCGCATTATTAAATTACAAGCACATTTTGCATATATTTCATTTCGGGACGAGCCATGAATGATTTATTTTCTTTAATTCGCGTCCAACGGCCGGCCATTTGGTTCGTTTTTAGGTGGAAAAATCACTTATAGTTGCCACCAAATTCGATTTTGTGTGACATCCGCTCGTCATAACGCCATTAAATGCTCAAGTTTTCATTACAGGCCGCAAACTTCCGCTAACACAGAAATTGCATTTCGACTTTGTCGAACATGGCAGCCTGGGGGCACGGGAATAGCAGGAATAGTAAAGGCAGGACCTGCAACATCCTGCGGTTCTTGGATCGCAAAAAAAGTTGAGAGACCTGGGGGTGCCTTGAGATGCAATCAACTTCCCTAGGGGCGTCACTCAATTTAAGAAATTTGAATACTTAAACTTGTCTCCCAGGATGGCCATAGTTGTTGTTCTTCCAACGGAAACGCTTGCCAGTTGTAGTCTTTCTCTGAGTAAACAGGAAACAACACTTATAGGTTCTTATTTCTATATTATATGGGTTTTCAAGAAAAGTTGATCCTTTCAAATAGTTGTAGTTATCATTATTAGATATTTTTCTTACCATAAAAAGCTTTTAACAAACTCGAGGTCAAGCTGGTTTGATTAGAAAAGGAAATTACATACAAAGAATATATATTGGATATAGAACAAGAAAGAAAGCTAACTTTGGCCAGCCAAAGTTTGTATACCCTTGCAGGAAACAATTAAAATATATCATAACTAAGCCAAAAATGCATTAATTTCGATTCGGAAAGCAGTTTTGTGTTAGTTGTTATTAATTTAAAAAAACTGCATAACCAATTTAAAATTTTAAGAAATCAAAATTTTTGCCATTTTTCCTCATTTTAATGATGTAACCCCTTATCAAATTTCGCAAAAATGGCAAAAAAAATCGATTTCTTTCGGACATGTCTAGAAAGATTCGCATGTTGATGCTGATCAAGAATATAATAATAATAATAATAAAAAAAATATTATTTTGTATTATAAAATCGGATTTTTTATATTAAAAAACTTCTTGATTTTTTTTTAATTAAAAATATCATAGCTCGGCCAAAAGAACATTAATTTTAAATCGGAAAACTGTTCTGTGCAAGATTTTCTACAGTTAATAAATCTGCATACTTCATTTAAAAATTTTGAAAATTCAATTTTTTATCAAAATCAAAAATTTTAATGATGTAACCCCTTTTAAAATTTTGCAAAAATGACCAAAAAATCGATTTCTTCCGGACATGTCCAGAAAGATTCCCCTGTTGATGCTGATCAATAATATATATGGTTTATGGGGTCGGAAATGATTCCTTGACTTAAAAAAATATTATTTTGTATTATAAAATCGGATTTTTTATATCAAAAAACTTCTTGATTTTTTTAAAATTAAAAATATCATAACTCGGCCAAAAGAACATTAATTTTAAATCGGAAAACTGTTCTGTGTAAGATTTTCTACAGTTAATAAATCTGCATACTTCATTTAAAAATTTTGAAAATTCCATTTTTTATCAAAATCAACAATTTTAATGATGTAACCCCTTATAAAATTTTGCAAAAATGGCCAAAAAAACGATTTCTTCCTGACATATCTAAAAATATTCCCCTGTTGATGCTGATCAAGAATATATATACTTTATAGGGTCGGAAACGTCTCCTTCACTGCGTTGCAAACTTCTGACTGAAATTATAATACCCTGCAAGGGTATAAAAACAGGAAGCTTTAATTTTAAACTATTTTTTTTTAATTGTTTACGGACTATAATATATATTTAGACAAAAACAATTAAACTAAAAGCTAAATTCTTTTAAAATTGATTGTCATATTTAATAAATAATACATTTTTAATAAATATATTTAATGAAAACCTTATACATTTTGAAGTACATCTTTAATGCGGTTTGATGTCTTTATGAAGTTAATTCCAAGAAACAAACATTCTTTATTCGCTTTATTAGTTATGATTCAGATTATTTTGATAAGAAATATTAACTGCGCTTGTTGATTTGTGAATAAAGACGATTTTCAATGCGATTTTATCTGCAATGTATAATTTATTAAAAAATCCAAAAAACAAATAACCTTATTTATTTACTTTATATATATTTTTTTCATTATGGAAATATAATATAGTAAATACTGTGTTAGCTATATCACTTTTTTGGCATTTTTTGAATTGATAAAGATTTTCGTTAGAAATTAGCTTAAGTCAGTACTAATCTTGGGTGTGTCAAGTATTATTTTCTATTTTCTTCTGCTAAAACTATTATTTTTGTTGCACTCACTTCTCTTGCTTCCTTCTATGGACTTACAATAGCGTCATCCTGGGCAACATGGCAGTAAAGTTGTTGAATTTCCGGTAGCAATATTGGCTGCGGACATTGAAACACATTGAGATTGTAGTATCCACCTTTTGGAAAAACAAAACTTAAGGTAACGCTTCTGTTTAGGTACAATTAAGCTAGCAAACTATTATAACTACCCTCGCTAATGCACTTGCACTTGAACAGGTGGAATGAAAGAATGCAAGAACATCACCCGATTTCACCGCTATATCAAAGCTTTAAGCTAAAACCGCTTTTTTTTTGGGAGTTTAAGCATAATATAAAAAGGTTCACTTGAAATCATTCCATTTATATTCGGCGAGCTATAAACACCATATAGAAGTCATTATATATTTTCGTGGCGAGTGGTTTTCAACATACACGTGTGATCGACTTTCAATTATATAATGTTATATGAAAGTTTATAAACTGATTAATAAAAGGAAATATTATTGGAACTATCAGAGTGAAAAGTGCTAGTTGCTGTGCCGAAGGTATGTCTCAGAAATAGGTGCCGTCCAAATTCTAATTTGATTTTATTCAGGCATCGGCTGTTAGTTTAGGCCAGAGGGCTTAGACAGCGCTTTTCATCACTCTCTCTAACTTGGCTATAGCCGCGTACACCCCGCTACCGACACTTGGACTGAGGGATTACGTAACCAAGATCGCGGTCAAGTGGCCGAGGCAGCCGCTCCTTATCTACGCCTAGGAAAAGGGTCTGGGAGGCTCAAAAGATCGATGGAATTCAGCTCCAAAACGGAATTTAGACCCCGAAACCAGCTTAAAACGGCGAGCAGATGCAGCAGTGTTACACAGTATTACGTAACTAACCCCTAAACCCAATTCATATTGCACCAGTCAAACTTTTGCGTAGGAGTTTTGGAGGCATAAGAGCTAAGAAAGAATAAATGAGTTACAACTAAAACGCCTTGCAGCGGCCGAGCGATGTGATTGTTTCGACAACCTGAATTAAATATCTATATATATTCTCTTTTGTTTTGTTCTTGTTAGATTCATTATAAAATTCTTACAAAAAATTAATTAGAAGATTCTGATTTGTATTAAACTTTGTTTCTTTTTCTAAACTATGAATTAGCGCATAAATTATTTAAAGAAATTAATATGTAAGACTAAGCAATATGAAATTGGGAAGTTGTTGAAATATCTTTCTCTCTCTATATATATATATATATATGTAACCTAAATTCCTAATTATACAGCAACTACATCGGAGTCATCTTGGGCCCAATGATACATCGGTGAGAGTAAGAGCTATTGTGAGTATTTGTAAGCGTTTATATGCGTATACTATTATAATATATATATATATGTAAGATGATTTGAGATGA